ATGTTACTGCTGGCTTATATACGTGGCATGTGTCTGAACTAACTAGGTTCCTGGTCATTGTATGTAGACAGACTCTGCAGCAGAAGCAAAGCAGGCACACATGTTAGTTGAACAGTAAATACATCTGATGTGAAGAAAACATCAATACCAATTGATTCAGCGGCACAATGAATCCAGATTAACAATGATTATCCATCCTCTTCACCATCAAACTCATGCTTGGGCCATTGGCTTGCAATTTTTGGATATGTGTGTGCCCTTTTGTGCTCAGAAAACTGGTGTGGCAGACTTTACATGGGAAACTTGGAAACTTAGCATGGTTCTAGTCCACACCCTATAAAATGCAAAATGACCACCACCTAACCATAATTGTTTGAGAAGTCCATTGCAATGCAATGTGTTGCAGCAGGCCAGCTTGCAGTTTCTCCACTGAGGCAGCAGCTCATTGTGGGTAGTAGAAGAGATTTAGGCCCTCAAGTCACCATGTACGATTTAAGGCTTTCTTGGGAGTCCCTCTTGTCCTTCATGATGAGTCCTCTGTGTAGGACAACTGTGCTGCCATGAGGCAGCTGATAGTCCAAAATACTCTATCACCTTCCAAGGCTAATCAGACTTGAACCTGGACTTCTTTGATCAGAATACAGTCTTAATCCATATCATTATCTCCTCCTACTTCTCACCCTTTCTCTATTTGCTTTATATCTCTCTGGCAGCACTAGGACATAAAACTAACACTTTGATTACAATGATGTGGATAAACCTGGGACCCCAGCACACCTACAAGAAGAAGAGAGAAGGATTTGTTTTGATCTTCAACTAATTTTAGTTTCCTGTCATGTCTGAAATGAGTACTGCTGCTAATTTTATCTAGCTAAGATTATGTACATGGTTGTTATGATATATAAAACAGTACAAAAACCAATATCAAACAAAATCATAATCTTATGAACATATAATAAACTTGAATACTTATTTGTCCAGCTAAGTAAAATAGTTCAAGGTTGCTAGTTTTTTTTTTTTAAAAAAAAATAGATATATTTTGGCTGACTTAATATTGTCTCCATGTTCCTCAAAACAACAGCTGCCTCTAGCGTTAAATGCATATAATTACAATTAAAAAAAACCCTTACATTTAAGAAAGGCTGAACTGAATATAAATATATGATTACCAGCAAGTTTCCATCATTGGCTGAGTCTACAATGATTCTTTATAAGGAAATGGGTGAGTTAATTTAGCTGAAAATAAGCCCCACAAAAATAAATGAAATCCAAGTATGTTGTGTCTCCCCCAATACATATGTGCAGATAACCAACAAAAGATAGACACAAATGCTTTATAGAGATATTTTTCTTAGGTTGGAAGGGTTTATATGTTTAATGGTGCTCTAAGCCCACTAAATTCTCTTTGGATTTTGCTATTATGCAAGAATTGTGAATTTACCCAATTATTTAATGATTCGTATTACACATTATACATTCTACTGGCTTGTTTAGAATTGTCAACCACTATATAATTGTCTCCTCTTGAATTGTATTAGATGATCAAACAGTGTGAATGGAATGAAAGCAGATACAGTAATACTATTTTAAAGTACCCGTATGTACTCACAGATAAGCTCCTCCTTGGATAAGCCAACCCTTGAATTTTTAACTCAGATACCATGAAAAATGTGCCACCCACAGATAAGTCAACCGTGAAGATTAAAAGGTATATAAATTTTGAGGGTTAGTTTATCACAAGTGGCACATTTTTCACAGTATTTTGGTTTTAAAAAAAAAGAGGGTTAGCTTATCCAAGGATGGGCGATCGGTATGTATACACAGCACTTTATTTTGATAAAGATTCCTCCAGTGAACTGTTGATTGTGCTATATCTTGATTTAGGAATGAAGAATAGGTAGGAGCTTTCTGTAGTATTATATATAGTGCTTAGCAAATTTAAGCTAAGGGCTGAGTGTTGTGAATGAAAAAAAGTTATGAAGCTAGGGTAAAGGCAGGATAAGATGTTGCTCAAGAAACAAATCCTAGAGAAAGAACCCTTGAAAGATTTCACCTGAGAACTGTATGGAAAGGCTGCCTAAAGAGTGAAGGGCTGCAAGGGCTTTCAAAACAGGAATAAGATGACAAGGAAGCAACTGTGTGCTCCTCAGTGATCAATATTCAGATACAACAGAGGAGTACTGTGTAAGAAATGAGAAAATGGAAGGGAAGTTTAAAGCAGAAAAGCAGCATGGTACTTGAGGCTCCGCTGTGATCTCTGAGAAGGAGGTCATACAATGGTTTTCTACTCAATTATAATGGAAACTTTAGTTCAATATGTCTGGAAGATATCAGACAAAGAAACACTATATGATGATATTAGACTGTGAGATAAAACCAGAATGTTGGTGCTGCTATAGTTTCTATTTTTTGCAGTTCTTTCGATATGGACACACTAAAGCAAAATTCAGGCAAGCTTATTTGTTGATTATTTTTGCATTTTAAATCCCTATTGTTATAGGCATCATGTAATGCTTAGATATTTCAAAAGCAGATTTATATATAATGGTTGCTTTTCTTATTTTTCATGTAACCAGATAGAAAATCAATTAATAATGCATATCTTACAGAGGACCAACTGGCGAAAATGGCAGAAGCCTACAAATACTTCTATATATAACATATGTAAATGATTGCATATGGCTGCAGGGTTTTAAGGCATTAAAATGGCATATAGGATATAGTTTACAGATAATAATACATAAAACCAGAAACACAGTTCAGGCATTTAATAGTAGATTTTATTGTTGGAAGAAAGCACCATGTTACTTTTATATAAAAGTATGAAATACAACTGTGGCAACTCCCAAGCTACAAATGTAATGCTGAAACCACATTTTGGTGAACAGAATTAAGTTTTCTAATACTTTCACAAAGCACTACAGCTAAAGAAATGAGAATACAACTTCATGTCTACTAACATAAATTAGTTTACACACAAAATGTACACAGGCAGAAACTCCAATCAATGTTCGGTAATAATACCTTTAGGGCTGGGCTTTTTCCCCAATTATTCATAAAAATCTGTTGGCCATTTGAGAAGTCTTGCATTGTTTTTTTTCATAATGTTACATCAATTTTTTAAACAAGTACATACCACCCACAATAGTTCTCCAAATGTGTTCATAACACTACAAGAATATTTGGTAAAAATATATGCTTAAAAAAACAACTATCCACACTGCACAATATTTACCATGCATGTTTTTTACATCTAATCCATCTAAATTAATTGCTCATCTCCGTCCTGCCTTTGTTCCAGAGAAAGTGATACAAACCAAGATCCTCTCTTTTTACAGGTTATACATAAAAATGATTTATAGGACAAAAAGGAATAGCATTCTACATTTACATATCCCTTTGCCAAGCTTAAGCCTGCACGATCTAGTTTGTTTCAGAAACAGAAACAAATATTAAGAAAATTAAGCTAAATATTGTGAGGTAAATGTTTTCTTAAACAATCTGCTAAACAGATGGGTATTACTGCCAATGACTCCAACTCCCAGGTGCCATTACTACTACTGCTTGCCACCCACATGTGCTATAAACATAACAGATTCCTTCAAAAATTATGTTTCTTCAACTTTTGCTAGAGCAAGAGGGATTTCATATCTATCATAAATTTAGACTTGCACGATTTTAACTTTCTAGATTATGGGTCAAATATATTTGTCAGTTTTTTTAAAGCTAAAAAGGAAATTATGTGTTAAGGCTGTTGCCCCCATGCGAAAAAAAAAGCATATATGAACTGGGTTAATTCAAATGGCTGGAAGAGAAAGGACAATCTTATTTCATTAGCAAATGTGACCTCAAAGTATAAGGAAGATCTGCTTATAGTAGATGATGATATAATGGATTGCATCACTGCAGTTATGTGAAGTAATTTTTCAGACAGCTAAAAGCTTCATACAAAGTTATGTGAGGGGAACAGCAGGCAACAACTGACCAAACTAAATCCTCAACAATTTAGTTTTGAATTTACAAGGTTTGTGTCTGTTTGTGAAATTTAACTATATTATTTCATATCTATAACCTCAAGCAGTAGCAATGGCACTTAAACCACTTCATAGTGCTTTACAGTCCTCTCAAAGCAGATTACAGAGTCAACATATTGCCCCCAACAATCTGGGTCCTCATTTTACAGACCTTGAGAAGATGGAAGGCTAAATCAACCTTGAGCTGGTCAGGATTGAACTCCTGGCAGTCAGCAGAATAACTGCTGTGCCAACAAAGCTCTAGTAAGCAATTACACTGCTGAACATGCGGAATCAGCCAAATGTCTGTATTAAAGTTGATTGTTGCATAATGGTGTTGTTATTTGAGGTTTCCCCAGGATTTTTATTGGGGCCAGGCCAAATATTACTCCATAGATAACAATTCTCAGCCTACTTTTCTAACTGTGCAGCTTTTTCATCCAAATTATCATTGGCTCATGTTAACAGCTTCCCCCAGGTGATTTTCATGGAACACTTAATAACTGCTATGGAATGACATTGTCTTCAACATTGGCCACTTAATATTAACAATTAAGAACACACTGCTCCAAGAAGAAAGCTGAAATTGTAAATGAGGTTGCTACAGACACTTCAAAATAGTCACCGGTACCAAAGTTGTCACTGCTTTTATCATAGTAACAGAGGGAACCTAAAGATTTTGTCATTTCAGCACTGCAATGAAATGAAATAATATTCTAAAAGCTGATATTGTGAGTAAACCAAGAAAACAATCCTCATTTATGAAAATATTTGGCAATTAGCAAAATATTTAAGTGGTTTGTCCTTAACTGCAATGCAAAGGTTGTACTTGGGTTCTTATTTTCTAATGCAAACACTTAATAGGAACACAAATACAGACAACTGAATCTCTGGATATTTCATAAGTTTTTCACATAGTTTTCAGTTATAGCAATCACAGTCTCCTTATAGCATTTTTTTCAAAAGACCTATAATTTCTTATGCAACACACTTGTGAACTGTAATAAAAGAAGTTCTTTTAATAAAAGAACTGAGCACATATAAGAATTTAAATTTCTGGGTAGACATGACAAAAACGATTTATATCAATGTATTACTTTGCTGTATCTCATGAACAGATAACTCATCAGCCTTCATTTTAGTTTTTAGGGGCAAGCAAAGGTGTGTACCTCTTTTAGTCTTAGCTCACTGAAAATGGGGGGGGGGTGGGGTGTCTCACAAAATCCCGTTATTTTTCATGGTATCATGCCATCGGTGCCCCCTTTGCTGCAATCTTTCTCTCACAAATATAATAAACTGTACTACACCAGCCAACAAAAGTTTGTCCACTCTGTTATAACTGGAGTAATCAATAATTGATAGAAAGGATTTCTTGCTGCAAAATACTTCTAAGATTAGTCATAATAAGAATTTTAAAATAACTTCATCTACGCTGATTTTACAGTCACCTAACAAAAGTTAAAACAAAAAACAAACAGGGATCATGCATCTGAGACTATGGTGGCATTTTCCCTTTTCTCTTTGAGAGCATTCTCCCAAATCAGAAGGAACATCATACAAGTAGCTTTGCTATTCTATTTGGATTCAGCCCTCAGACCATCCTCTGATGGCAGGGAGGGGACACTATCGTGAGAAACAGTATCAATGCTTTGTGCTTCTGACTGAAGATGGACAGATACCTCCACAGCTATTTCTTTGCAGTGGTCATTCACTGAACCATCATCTGAATCTCCTGCTGGTGAATTACTGCGCTTTATTTCTGGGTTTGAGGGATACAGTCCCTCTTGGGCACCAAGTGCTTGGGTCTGTTTCACTCCATCTCCTACTTCATCAGGGTCATCAACATGCACAGCTTCAAATATTTCTTCCATAAAGGCCCTGCAGTTAAGGATTAGAGGTGGTAGAGGGATACTTCTGGCAAGTTCTTCAATGTATCGAGCAAATTCCATGGTTTTAAACTGGGTGACTTTGGCCAGCTCTAGAGTTTTGGCAGAGGTAATAATAGGAATGCGTTTGGCTATTTCAAAAGCCTTCTGTAGTTTCTCAGCCCCTTCAGTTCTGAAGAACTCATTGATGGCTTTCTCTGTTTTACGAAGATGGCTGCTCATCATGCACAGGCGTGTAATATTTAAGATAAGGATGATGGTAAAAGCAACTAGGCAGACAATCATGTAATAAATGCCCATGTCTCCAGAGGTGGAGACCACTCTGAGGGTGATTGAATAATAAGAGGTGCCATTTTCATTTGTGACACTGCAAGTATATCGTCCCCGGTCAGCAAATATTACACCTGTGATATTGAGGATATTGTCAGAAATCACCAGTCTTCCATCTAAAGACACAAATAGAATTTTTTAAAAAACATTGCAAGTTCAAGTTATGCTTTTATGTTTCTTAGAGCAGCATGCACAAAAGATGGGACCATTTCAGTTATGGTCCTATCTCCCAATAAATATATGCCCAGAATTTCTCTCTAATTATTTATAAACTGATTTTAAGTATTCTTTTATTCTACTCTGCCTTTAATTCTGGTAGCTGTTCTGAATTTTAAAAACTGCTGTAGAACAAATATAAATCACATGAAGCTTAGCAGGAAAACAATATCCTGTACCAGATTGTCTACAATTACTTTTTATTTTGGATTAATGTTATGCATTTATTTTCCTTTTCATCCCTATGAAAATATCCAATTATGAATATTTTCACTGCAATTGTAGTTAAATCCTATAGAGAATAACAGAAAGTGGATACTTGGATAAAATATTTTAATGCCTGCATGCAATGGGATTTTCTCATCCAGAGTCTGTAATAGTCAAAATAATGATCTTTAAACAATACATTAAATCATTGCAGCAACTTTGATTTAAGCTTTCAATTTTCTTAAAAAACTCTTGTCTATACAATATAAACTTGATTCCTACAGATGGGATTCACATCTGTTATTTTTTTCCCCTTTGTACTTTTTACAGAATGTGACAAAGAAAACCTCTATGAGCATTATACATTGGGTCAAGCTTATTGTAAATTTAGACGAATATGCTCTTACCTCTTCCACCTTGCTCCAGAAGATGCCCCTTTGAGTTGTACCAGAATATGGTGTCCTGCTGGCTAATGTTCAAATTACATTCAATGAAAACACAGGTACCTTCTTTTGCTATGATATTCTGAGGAACTGGATATTTTGTCAAGACTTGAAAGATAGGGAGAACTGATATGTTGAGAGGCAGGGGCCTTGATCCCACAGTAAATGTCAGGTTGGAAGTAACATTTTCTTGAGCAAAAACACTGAGGTTAAGAACCACAATCAACAGGCAGCAGCTGAACTTCATGGAAGCTTATAAAGGGATTCTTTTGTTGAATTTAATCACTGAAGACACTGAAACAATATGCATTATCTTGATCACCAGAGAAGATATTGAGTGATGCATCAACCATTGTCTTTGAAGATGCCTAAAAAACAAGTACATGAGAAACCCAACTAAAATACTAAAAAATATGAATGCGAGTTATTAAAAATACAAAACTATACAGGTTTGTTTAGCTTATGAAAAGGATATTAGAGTTAGAACCAGCGTAACGGCAACTAGTCTTATTTATTAGTAACCAAAAAAGACAAAAGAAAAAGAAATGCAAGAATATTTTTCTTACACAAGTAGCTGATTTGTGGTGGCAACATGACCCATTTTCATTTCTATATTATAGGACTAGATACACATATACATACATATGCATACATCAATGGAACAAATACCTTCTATCTATGGAAGTTGGTATCAAAAAAGCAAGAATCTTCCCCTATTTCCCTACCTGAGCTTTCTTAGTAGTTTATTTGCCATGGATTCTTCCCTGATCAACTCCATATAACTGATTAGTTCACATTACATTAAACTGATTAGTTCGCATATAACTGATTAGTTCACATAACACCTTCCTTCAACGTTTTGGGGGGAAAAATAACAATACAGCTCCTATTTGTATTTTATTATTTGCTAAATGGAAATGAAAGATAAGTCAAAAGATCTAGTAACTGATCTCAAGTCTAAAATAATTCTAATACTGAAAAAACCCAAGACTTATATGATGCTTGAGTTACTAGTTTTAAGAAGTGTTAGGTATTTAATAAATGCCTTCCCCAATTTTATTTATTTTAGTAAAGCCTCATAGAATCTTATCAGAAGTGATAATTAGTCTCTTATTTCTGAGAAAATAACCAGCTTTCAGAAGCTCGAGGTAATTATATGCACCAATTGCATATGCTCCCTAAGATATGGACCAAGTTTGCATAACACACAATAGTTTTGAATGCTACTGATTTTTTTCATTGTTCCTCACTTTTTTTGCTATCTAATCTTTCCTAATCCAGTGATTGCTGTTATTTTCCATACCTTACAAACTGAATCCCTCACTACTAAATTATTTTGTACATTACCATTACATATTAGTTAACAACTAATATAAAAGACAACAATTAATTAAAAACATACTTTTGAATTAATCTTTGGATTAAATAAAAAATATTTTTGAAGGCAACAAATATGTGCAGGAAGCAACAAGGAGCTGAGCTTGACATTTTACATCCAAAGGTTTCTTAAGAATTATTAGCTATACTTACTAAGATTAACTGCGCCACAACACCAGCTTTCATAATAACTAACGCAATTATTCAGGCAATTCAAGATAATTGAACAACTCTGGAATCTAATTCAGCAAAGATATCACTGGGTACTCATATTTCATGTTACTGAAATAATCCAGAGGTAGGCACAGACAATATTTAGGAGAAACAAGGTGTGTGTGTATGTGTGTGTGTGTGTGTGTGTGTGTGTGTGTGTGTGTGTGTAGAGAGATCGAAATCACAATGCAGATGTTTCTGGAATCTCTGGTGTTAAATTTTTGGAATGCTTGTTGTCCAATTGTAGACTGAAGCTCTTATACACCCTTTCTTTGGATATTCTTCTGAGTTTATTCATTTATTTATTTGGGGTGACTAACTCTGGACACTGCTTGTACCTGTTCCTGCAGTTTTCTTGACAAGAAAACTTTGGAAGTGGTTGCCCTGGCCTTCTTCCCAATATTTGAGGGGCTGCCACAGAGAGGAAGGGGTCAAGCTATTTTCCAAGGCACCTGAAGGCCAGACAAGGAATAATGGATGGAAACTGAACAAGGAGACATTCAATCTGGAAATAAGGAGAAATTTTCAGGGAGAACAATCAACCAATGGAACAGAAGTTGCTTTCAGAAGTTGTGGGAGCTTCATCCCTGGAGGCTTTCAAGAAGAGACTGGACTGTCATCGGATAGGAATGGTGTAGGGTCTCCTGCTTGGGCAGAGGGTTGGACTAGATGACCTACAAGGTCCCTTCAACTCTGTTAATCGATCTAAGGCTGGGAGAAAGAATGACTGGCCCAAAGTCACTCAGCTGGCTACATATTTAAGCCGGAAATAAAACTGCAGGCCTCCCAGGTTCTAGCCTGGTGCCTTAACCACTACTACACCAAACCGGCTACATCCTTCTCAGGGTTTACTACTACTATGGTTATCATTACTCCATCGAGAGGCAAAGTGAGACTGCCTCGAGTTAAAGCTGCCTGAAAAATCTGTGGCCCTAGCTCATCTTGAGAAACCAGACTGAGATAGCCGCACGCAGGCTCCTTCTCCGACCTTTTTGAGTTAGGGCAGAGGTGGGAACGAGGGCCCTTTTATGACTTGTGGACTTCAACTCCCAGCATTCCTGAGCCACCCAAGATCATGCTCAGGAATTCTGGGAGTTGAAGTCCACAAGTCATAAAAGGGCCCTCGTTCCCCACCTCAGAGTTAGAGTATCTAACCCAATTACTGTATCTGCATTACTTCTCCAATACACGGGCGAAGCAGTAACAGCCTGGCCTATTCGCGGCGCAATAATCCGGCACTCCTGGCGGACAGCGATCCCACCAACAGAGCTCCAAGGGTGCAAAGACTATCAAAACCACAACGTCAATCCATTTCTCCCTCCGCCCCGCCCCTCTTGATTGCCGCGAGGAGCGTCGGCGGCGGATTCCCTTCTCGGGCCTTATGCCCATCTCCCCTAAGACAACCAGCCCTACCTGTCCAACTACCAGCCGGGTCGGTAATTTTTCTTGCAAATTCGTCATATCCGGCAACAGCAACAACAAAAAAGCGAGGTCACCTGACTTCTGGTTCAGTGACGCTCTCTCCTCCTCTCCATGGTTGAGGTACAGTAATCTGGCGTGTTGGAGGCCATAGAGACGTGGCTGTTTCTGGTGTGATATTTCAGTGGAGAAAAGGCTGCAGAGTCCGGAGTGGACAGTCCCCGCGCTTCGAGTATGTTTCTATAACAAGGTGTATTTTTCTTACTTGAAAATGCCTTTTTTATGCCTTTGCTGCTTTGCTCTGGTTAGGAACATTTATTCCCATAAATTTCATTTAGTGATGATGCCAGTTAGAATCCATGCAAGCTGAGTGGAATAAATCTTCCCTTCGGGATGAGGGTCCTTCTTGAATATATTCCGAGCCCCCCCGCCCCGCTTTCCTTGCCTACAACTCCCAGTGGGCTTCTGGCTAGGGAGGGAGAATGGTAGTTGCAGTCTTTCGTGTTTTGTTTCAGTGTTTCAACAGAAGGTTGATTTGCTGGAGTGCATATGCGTCAGAGAAAGAGTAATAAAAGATTTCTGTATTTACTTGCCCTGCCCACAGATTCTCAGAAGATCCTTTTGTTTTAGATTTTGATCTTTTAAATCCGACAGAAGTAGCTGAGTTTGGACTGGTAATTACAATTTGGCTGGAGTCGATCTTCTAAATTCAGGTAGGTGTCTCTTCTTTCTCATACCAGTGGTTGCATCCTGGAACAAAAGTGGCTTTTGTAGTTAAACATGTCTTTACTTACTCCTACTTACATTTTACCTATTCTTTACTATTTCCTCCTCCTCCCTCTTGATTGCTGCATTTAATAAACTTAACTTTATCCCTTTCTCCACATTGTTTTCTTCTTCTTTTTCCGCCTTTCTTATGTAAAATTGTATGACTAAAGTCTTTGAACCTTATGCAATGCTGATGTAATACTCTAAATATCAACAGTTGGCTGAAAGGTCATTTGGATAAGTGGGATACTCTATGAGTAAGCATGCATTATAACAGCACGGGCCTGGAAAATAAGATAGGCATCATATGCTACACTGGGAAGATTGTCTGAAGGAAACACAAAGAAAAGTGAGGGATGGTTGTATTAACTCTGGTTTTCTTTATAAAAAACAAAATTCTAGCATGAGTTCATATGTTAACTGCAAGACACTAAATAGGTAATTCTCATTGTAACCAATGAGTAAAGGCAATTATTTCTTTGAAATTATGATTCATCTCACATTTATACTCAGATATATCGGCCTATCCTACAATTAGGTTGGGGAGAAGGGGGCAAAAGCAGGAAAGAATGTAGGAATCTGATAATATAAATTACCTTGAAACACCAGTTCATTTCTATTTCTCAAAATAGACCGAGGTTTTTCACACTTTTTGATACATTAGAAGCACATTATTTTTCTAGTTAAACCAGAATACTGTTACATGCTTTTACTTTTGTATTTTTTGAAATGATAATGTATCTGAGTGTTGGCCTTTGATTTCTGTTGTTCAAATGCTCATGTTTCTAACACTTTCCCACTCTTATTAAAACAACTTGGCATATCCCCTTGGGATGATGTCATCATCCACATATTAAATGAAAAGCTGTATAAAACTTGTCTCAAGAGTCATAGAGTAGCTATCTATTATGCAAATTATTCATATTCTTCCACTTTCAGATAATGAACACAAAACAAAAAAACAGCAGCCCAATAAGTGCAGAATGTGTAACAAAAGCTCATATTAATTTAAATAAGGTGGAAAGCTAGCAAAGAGGGAACAAGATAGATCACTTATAGTATTTTCAAAGTCTGTGTGAAGTAGAAGACAAGAACATGCTTTGTTCTATGCAAATAATTGGTTGTATTTATTCTAAATGTATTTAATTAAACATTGAGACAATAGCAGAATTTGTGTAATCAATCTAAATAAGCAAAAAAGTGGAAAACTTGAAGATACTTTGGTCCTGAATCCTATAAGGCAGGATATTATTAAATAATTAAACACATAAAAATAAACACTGTAACCTATATAAGGCCTTAAAAGAAATATGAAGCCATTGTTTTAGCAATATAGTGATGTGTTTTTAGAATCATATTTTGGTTTTAATAGCTTTTTTGCCATTATGGTCTGAAACCTCTGGGCATTGAAAATATTCAGCTTCATGTGAAATGACTTGAAGTGATGAAATGATCCAATTATTAATCACCATGGTCAGAAATATTTGAAACTGGTATTGTAGACTAAATTGGACAAAGACATTTCTAGCCATAGCTGCACATATATAAGCGGGATCAAAACTAGGAAGAGTAATTGTACCTATTACGACTTAGCTGTTCACAATATTCCAGATTTAGGAGTATGTAGAGTTTAAGAATTGCTATCATGTGGGAAGCTCTCTTTCATTTGAAATTATTTCTGCAAAATAAATAATGCGTTTTGTTATCTAATTGCTTTGCAATTAATTTCAAAGCCATTCTAGTTATTAATTTATATATATGCCAAACAAAGGATTTACTATTTTTCTCCTCTTCCTGCTAGCTTAAGGGAGAGGAAAATAGCTATTTAAGTATGGAATGTTGAATCTAGAGATTCTCAGTAAAATATTTTATTTTATTATTATATTTTCTCAATGGAATTGAAATAACAAATAATTATTCTAATATGCCTGTTTTTGATCTTGCTTGAGTGATATCCCTATGCAAACCACTGAATCAGAGATGCTTCAGAGTAAACATGCATAGGATTGTATTATGCATGTGCTTTAATATTTATAATTGTCTTCAAAATTAGCTAATGTTTAGATTGTCTGGATAATCTAGCAAATAATAAACTATTTCTATCAATCTCATTTTCCAGATAAATTGTGCTATAGGCTTTCTGGAAACCTTTCTGTGTTCTCCAAACTCAGATCTGATTTTACATACTTAGTAGTATGTAAACTGTTTTACTGTACTGATGTGCTTTTTTCAACTAGTCAAATGGGCTCAATTTAAGTTAAAAATATATGTTGCATTAAGCTTAAATAAATAATTATAACAATTACTTATAAAACAAGGATATGCTTTGGTCATGTCCCAAATGGAAAATGAATCACTGAGAGAAGATGTGGGTGAACCTGATGAAAACGTGCAGAAGACAGTAGATGAAGAAGTGATCAAGAATAATGGTGAGGAAGTCGAACCTACATGCATGACCCAGAAAAATCCAGAAGCCAAAATCACTGAGCTCAGTGGAGCACAAGAGCCCCAGGTGCAAAATATATTACTATTTATGTTAAAATATGTCAATAATTTTCAGTTTTATCTCAAAATATTCACTCTTTCTATCTTCCAAAGTGAAACATTTTTTTGGGGGGGGGGGGGGGGGGCTGTCTAAAGTAAGTTATTGTTACTCTGTAATTTAAATGGAATCTATCAATTTTAATCTGCAGTTGGATTGTATAGCAATAGCACTTAGACTTACATACTGCTTTATAGTGCTCTACAGCCCTCTAAGTGGTTTACAGAGTCAGCATATTGCCTCCAACAATCTCGGTCCACATTTTACCTACCTCAGAAGGATGGAAGGCTGAGTCAACCGTGAGCCTGGTGGGATTTGAACTGCCAAATTGCAGGCACCTAATAGTAGAAGTGGCCTGCAGTACTGCACTCTAACCACTACGCCACCGAGGCTCTTCTTGGTGTATTGAGTATCCTTCTGAGTTCTTAAGAAAGATAAATACATCATGTGCAATCAAGTTAATTACATGTTATTTTAGGAACTTAGAATAATAATATAAATAAAATATATATCCTTACTTTTTATGGCATTAATTTGAAAGCATTTTGTAACCATTCTGTTACTATAGGTCTGCTTGCATAGGTGACTATAACTGCTGAAACATAGAAATAAATACACAGTTTATTTATTAAGAGAATATTTTCCTATTCTTGACCAAATTGATTCACATGAGATGAAGAGTAGTATTAACACAATATAGTTAACAAATACAAATGGTTTTTCTCATAGTATTGATAAATTTGAATACTACTATATGTTTAATGTTTTTAAATAATGCTTCATATTGTATTAATAAGAATCCCCTTTTATTTGGAACAGAACATTATTTTTTATTTGAATGTTTATCAGCTTCCCCATTAAGCATTCAAATTTGCTAACAGAAAGAAAAGAATGTTCTGTAAAATAGTGATGTAAAAATGTATTATTTATTTTTTCCATATATTTCCTTTGCTAGAAATTAGTTTTAATAGTTTGGTTATTTAAAAAAGGAAAAAATAACTGCTTACCTTGTTCTCTTTTACTTAGGTCTCAGGTCCCATTGAGAAGACTCAAACAGGATGGGGATATTGGGGAAACTGGGGGAAATCATTGCTTTCAAGTGCTTCTGCTACAATGGCCACTGTTGGTAAGGATAGCTAAAACTTAGCAGATTCATAGAACCTACTTTACAAATCCAATTAACTTTCTTTTCTAGTTTTTTTTTTCTTTAGAAGTTAATGGGGCAACCACAAAATAGCTTTCTTTACAAAAAGTAAAGAAAAATATAGAGCAAGATCAATTTTTTTTTAAAAAAATATGTATTTATAGAACAGTAAGTATATCTTGGTCTTTTGATTATGCATCACTCAACCAATTCAAACCTACACAGCTTTTACAAGCTCTTAAAGGTTGATATGTTATCTCTAATTGAAAATATAAAGGAACCGTATAAAATTGAGATCAAGCTAATGGCTAGACAAAACAAAACAGTAGAATACATCTTATTGACTTATTTTGCTTGCTTGGACAGTACAGATTTACGAGGACCCCAGCCTTCCTGTCATCAATAGATGCATCAATAGATGCATTGTCACACATTGTCACACAGCCATAGGAAATTTTGCTCTTGCCATTCTCTTTCTTTTGCAGTGTCGGATGGCAAATATAAAATAGTACAAGTGTGGTTCAGGAGAGCTGCAATAGCAATAGCACCACTTCATAGTGCTTTTCAGGCCTCTCGTAAGTGGTTTACAGAGCCAGCATATTGACCCCAACAATCTGGGTCTTCATTTTACTGACCTTAGAAGAATGGAAGGTTGAGTCAACCTTGAGACAGTCAGGATTGAACTCTTGGCAGTGGGCAGAGTTAGCCTGCAATACTGCATTCTAACCATTGCAGCACTGTGGCTCTGGAAACCCTAGAACACGTTCTTCTTTGTTACTCCTTTTGAAGAGCCATTCAAACCAGATTGATTCTTCCTCTGATTAGTGATCCTGATTGTTCTGACCTGGCCTAAGCACAGATGAGCTGCCATTTATTGCAGTGCATATGGCTAAGTTTAGGTAGCAGCATGGAAGATCTGGACCTTGATAGGTCAAGCTCCTGCTCCAAAGAAGTATTTTATGTAATTTTAGATATTATCAAATTTTATACAACTTCAGATATTATCTCACTCCATGTAAATTTTAGAAATCGTAATCTTGTAATTTTACATGTTACGTTTTATGTAATTTTAGTTACTATCTCATTTATAGCTCAGGCACTGATTGTTTCTTTCAGCTCTTACTGGTGGATCCTAGTCAGGATGTACTATATTTTAATTTTATTTCAAATTTTGTTTACTAAAGTAGTTTCTTAAGGAACTCCTTAGAGTTTTTGGTGCTAATAGATTCCTTATAGACACATTCCTTGTACAGGTCTAAGACTGTTAGAATCATCTCCGCCCCGCCCCCCCAAAATTCTCTCTTTGCATCCTATTGATTTTACTTGCTTGGGCAATTTGTCTTATTTTTTTCTCCCTCAGGGTTAACATGATCTCTTCTTTCTCTAGGTCATGGAATCTCAAATGTCATTGAAAAAGCAGAAACATCCCTAGGGATTCCCAACCCTACTGACTTATCATCTGATGCCAGAGATGCAATAAAAGGTCATATCTTAGCACATAAAATATTTTATATATAATGACCTTTGTTACCTTTGAAGGGATCTATGCTCTATGGAAGATATGCTGAGCATCAGGCTGTCATATTACTGCCAAATAACAATACTTAGAAATATTGGTGTTGCTAGTATCTTAGAAATATCCTGAAGGAAAAGCACTTGCAACTTTTTTATTGCTGTACTTCGTTCAGGATATAAAACTTACACCTGCGTTTGGATTAACCATTGATTCTGTGCAGTGTGAAGATGGCAGAGTTTCAGTTTTTGACACCAGTCTAGATAGAAATGGATATTTATAACTGACAGCAGGAACTACTGGTTAGGTTCAGAGAATTGCTCTCTTTAGTTTTATATGCCTACAGAGGGTTTAGGATACTTTGAAATATTCAAGGGCAGTTTTAACCCTTAAATGAATGTTTTTGTTTCAGAAAGCCAGAATTCTGAAGAAGTAAGTGATGACAGAAAAGAGACTGAAAATCCTTCACCTCTCAGTGGTGCTTTTGGAATGTTTTCTACTATTTCTTCTGCTGTTCAGAGCACAGTGAGTGAGATTGAAAGGGTTATGTTAAGATATATCTTAGTTTGATCTTGCTGTGTCCTCAGTTTATCCTGTCAGCCCTTTAAAGTAGACCAGATCAGGAAATAGATGCCACCAAAAACTAGAAGTATACATCCTGTGTTTGAGATTGGCTATAATAATAGGACCTTGCTAGTCTGCCTGTGTTTTTCCTTCTTTCCCTCTTACATCCCAGAGAGTTGGAGGTGCACACTAGTTTTGAGTCTCTTTGTAACCTTATCTGTCCTGGTTACATTTAGCAGCTATTTTTTCTGCACCTGGTGCTTCCCTAACAGTCTTTGGATTCTTTCTCCAACCTTCTCCCTGGCTCTGTGAAGGTTCATTACGTTGTCAGTCGGGAATCCAGTTCTTTTCGTACTTTATCTTTAATAATCGCTTTGTTTATTGCCAGTAAATTATTGATTATTTGATTGCCAGTAAATTATATTATCTGTTTAGGGGTCTTGAATTACAAGCCTTTTCCTATTATAAAGAATTAGACTAAACTTTAGCAAATTCTTTAATTGATATTTGAAATTTAATTGGACCAGAGTGAAAAGGATATATAAACTTAATAGGCTATGAATTTCACTAACAATTAGTCATGTTGTTGAAATATACAACTTGGTTTGGGATGAAGATGTAATGCATTTACACAACACTAGTATTTGAATGTTGTTATCATTTCATGTTATTTTATAACTTGGTTTTATGAACAGAAATTCTCATGAAGCAAAATATATCTTCATTTAAAATGTCAAGATATACTGAAGATGTAATAATAATAAATCATTAAAATACAGAATGGGATAAAATACTTATTAAAAGTAGCTTACTTACTGTAAATGTCACACTATAAGACGCACTCCCTCCCCGCAAAAGTGGATGGTAATGTCTGTGTATCTTAGAGCGAATTTTGCTGAAGCCCTGCCCACCCGTCGGCTCCCGCCCTTTAGCCTTTGCCTCCCAGCAATTTGCCTCCTTGCAGCAAACAGCAAACAGTCTGGTCAGCTTCAGCACAGCCTGATTTAGCACGAGCAGTTGATTGGCGGTTTTCACATGTCCCATTTTTGGACTCCACGCACCCCATTTGGGACTCTGCATGTTCCATTTTTGGCCCGTTCCAGGTGGCTGATCCCCGCCAATCCCTGCTGCCTAGAACCGGCTGAAAACAGGACACGCGGAGGCCAAAAATGGGACACACGGAGGCCAAAAACACAGAGGCCAAAAATGGGATGGACGGAGGTAGTGATGGGCGGCAGTGATGGGTGGTGGTGATGCAAATTTGACATTCATGATATACGCTCATAGCTGAGCCTTTTTTATGTAGCCAGTTCAAGGGTTATAAAAGCATACTCTGGAAATTCTTTCTGTCAACACATGTTCACTACTATTTATTTGTGCCCCGCTTTGCTACCTTGTTTCCCAAGGAAAATGATATAAATCAATCTTGTATTTTGAACATTTGGCTTCTGGAAGTTCAAATGTGCACTTACAGTATATCTATCATAAAACAAAAAAATTCTTTCTTTCAAAGCTATATCTTAAAAAGTGCAAAAATCTCTCTCTCTCTCTCTCTCTCTCTCTCTCTCTCTCAGGGGAAAACAGTGATAAGTGGAAGTCTGGATGCATTAGAATACATTGGTAAAAAGACTATGGACGTGATAGCTGAAGGTGATCCTGGATTTAAGAAAACAAAAGGCTTGATGAACAGAAATTCCACACTATCTCAGGTATGGATTTCCCTTAGGAAACCTGGGAGCGATTAATTTCTGATCCTTTCTGATAATTAATAAATTTCTGATAATTAATAAATTATCAATCAACAGAATAGTTCACGACCTAATTTATAGCTGCAACATTTTCTCTCTCCATGCCATTTTTTTTAATGCTGCTGTTGTCACACTTCAACTTCTTTATTTGTAGGTCTTGCGAGAGGCCAAGGAAAGAGAACAACAGAGGACAGCTGCTGATGTTTCCATGACTACAGAGAAGAAAGCACATTATGGATTGCTTTTTGATGAGTTTCAGGGGCTTTCTCATTTGGAAGCCTTAGAGATGCTTTCCAGAGAGAGTGAATCAAAGGTAAATGACTTTAAGCAATTTTTTTTTATGATCAAGGAAGAATAAGAATAGGGATCTATATAAACTCTGGGGGGTGAATCCATTTACAGATTCTTTGCAGCACCAGTAAATAAAAGCCAATCAAAGCAGGAGAAAGGGACTTCCTATGCTCACCTATTTCTTCTCTGCTTTAGGTAAGTCAGTGTGTTTTTAAATAAGAAGCCTAAAAAGGTTTGTTATTCCCAGATGTTGTAATCTGACTGGGATGGGCCAAAGAAAATCAATTCCATTGTATGATGCGGAAACACAAGTATATGGGAAGTCTTTTTGTTTTTTGCTCCCATTTTCCAAAAAGCATTTTTTGTTACTCAAGTCTTTTTTTAAAAAAATACTTCTGCTGTATTTGTCATATCAGATAAGAAACTCCCGGATCCAAGTTCTTACTGTATCTTTCAAACAGGTGAAATCTGTTACAAGTACACTTTCTGGTGAGGAGTTTGCTACTTTAAAGGAAGAGCTGGAAAAGCTGAAAGAAGCATTTTCATTAGCTGAATTTGAGGACGATGAAGAGGACGATGAAGAAAAAAGAGGTAATTTGGTGGATCCAACACTTGAATATGGGCTGTGCAACAGTATATAAAGACCTCTTGATGTGGGGTGAGGTAGCTTTCTAACATTCTGTAGCATTCAGTCATTAATGCTTATATTTTAGAGGCTCTAGCTTTTCATTAATCAAGTGAAATAAATAATAGATATTAAAAGCTTCCACATACAGGTAGGCCTTGACTTATGACCACGATGGAGCCCCAAGTTTCTGTGGCTAAGCAAGACAGTTTTGCCCCATTTTATGACCTTTCTTGTCACAGTTCTTAAGTGAATCACTGCAATTGCTAGTAAGGCAGTTGTTGAGTAAATCTGGCTTTTGTCATTGACTTTGCTTGTCAGAAGGTTGCAAATGTGATCCCATGATCCTGCAACCGTCATAAATACCTGCCTGTTGCCATCCATCCAAATTTTTATCACGTGACTGTGGGAATGCTTAGTGGGTTCATGTGAAAAACGGTCGTAAGTTGCTTTTTTCAGTGCTGCTGCAATTTCAAATGGTCACTAAATGAATAGTTGTAAGTCGAGGACTACCTGTATTTTAAGGCTCTGTTTTTCTGAGCCTTAATTACCTGTACATTTAAATGAATGATCAAAGGACAGCATGGGTTTCCTTAATTAACATAATGCTTGTTTTATATATTTTTTAATATTTTATATTTTTTAAAGGAGCCTCTGTGGCGCAGTGGTTAGAGTGCAGTACTGCAAGCTACTTCTGCAGCCAGCTGCCTACAATTTGGCAATTCAAATCCCACCAGGCTCAAGGTTGACTCAGCCTTCCATCCTTCCGAGGTGGGTAAAATGAGGACCCAAATTGTTGGGGGCAATAGGCTGACTCTGTAAACCGCTTAGAGAGGGCTGTAAAGCACTATAAAGCGGTATATAAGTCTAAGTGCTATTGCTATAATGTAGAGAGAAACCTGGTGGTCACAGTGGCTGATTGGAACCTTAGGGAGGAGACTTATAATGGCTCCTAGATCAGACAACTTATATGTGAAAAAGAAGACGACAAAAAACACTCATGCTTCTTCCATTATATTGCTAGTATTATGTTGGTTGCACAGCTGTTGGCATGTACCTATTACCTTTAGAAAGCATCTAGAGATCCCTATCTTTCGATCACAAAGATTATTAAAAAGAGTGCTCATATTCTGAAGAACAGAGATATGCCCCACCTAGGTAATGAAAAACAACAAACAAGCCCTATATGTAATTATAATGAAAACACACAATCTACATCCTGTTGTTTTCAGAAGACGAAGATTTCACAATTGAAGTGGGCATACTCTTTTCACAGCTGCGCATCTCTCTAAAACCAGCTAAATTGCTCCAAGTGAGTAAATGCTTGTTTTTAGCTTTTAAGATTATGTATAGAGTTATTCTGGATGTAGTTTGGGCTTCTGAAATTTGTAGTAACTTGTACTAACTAGATTAACTTTAATTTTTTTTATTTTTATTAGTTTATATTAAATTGATTAATAATTAGTGATATATAACAGCAACTGAAGGAATTTTATAACTTAGAGACTTTCCACCTGGGAAAGCCAAGGGAAATCATCAAAACCATAAAAAAACGAAAGTTAGAATATTTTGGACATGTGATGTGACACCTGGAAAATACGGCATACTTCACTTAATCCTCCAGGAAAAGATTGAAGATAAATGAGGTCCAGGCAAAAGAAGAACATCATGACTTCAAAATCTAAGGGACTGGTTTGGACAAAAATCAACAACACTTATTTCATGCAGTTGTTGATAAAAAAATAGGATTGCCAACATGATTGCCAACATCCAATGACGGATATGGGACAAGAAGAAGAAGAGTGACTATCAAATATTAGAAGTGCTTTTCAGTAATGGACATCTTTTTCCAATACCTTTAGGCGAGATGGGTGGCATGCATAAATAAATAAATAAATAAAAACATAATAAATAAAATAAATAAATAAATCCTTCAAGATGGCTCTGTTAGTGGTCATACTGTTGCAGTTCTTTAAAATATCCAGAATCTAAGCTAACTAAACTTGATTTCTGGATATTAGCTTGTTATCTTTTATATGGTAAAGTTTAAAGAGTAGCTTAAGGCAATAATCAAAGTATTTTTTCTTTAAGAAGATTTTAATAGAAATAGAATGAAACAGAAAATACATTTTGTTTTGAATTTCAAATAAAACAGCTGTAGCTGAACTTTCATATGAATATTCTGCTCTATTCTGTCCTGCAATATAAGTCAGAATTGTTTAAATGTTCTAAAAAAAACCCGGAAATATTTTGATTTCACCCATAGGAAACAATGCTGAGGGCTGGCTCCTGCTCCCTTGTGTTTTACAAGCGGGCCAGAGAAATAAGGGGGATTGTAGTTCATGCATCTGTCACCTTAAGCACAAAACAGAAGTACTGTTGTGGTGCTTGAAATATTTCAAATAGCACAATTCAAAATGACCAGATTTTATTCAGTCTTAAAATTCTTGAAAAGTAGACTTTTTCCAGTCAGAATATTTCAAAATTCAGACACACTTCCTTGTAGTAATGTGTACAAACAGTAAGTGGCAGTGTTTTCCAGGAGAGAATGACAAACCTCCAATTTATGTCCGGGATGTGAGGAGTCTGTAGGCGGAGCAAGAAAAATGGGACTGAGCTGTTTCAGTCTTGAATGGGAAAGATTACAGACTTCAGCATTATGCTTCAGCATTTACACATCTATTTTCCAACGCTTCATTCTATACCACTATGACTAAAGAACCATAATGGCATTGTACAGATACAAGCACTTTTGATTTCCAGTGGCTAGAATTGGGAAGGTAGGGAGCAATTCATGTAATCTATGAATAGTGACTAATTACTTATAGGGAGATGTGTTGTGGTATAAATACACTGTTTGCATTCTCCTCAAAATCTCATTGAAATTTTGCTGAAAATTGGGAGTGGAGAACATAAAGCCTTATAGATATTCTCTCTGGCATCTACTGGTCATATTGGCTGGGGGATGCTGGTAATTCAGCTGCATCTGGATGGCTAAACATTCCCCGTTCCTCTGTAAGGAAAATGATGTATTTCTTTAAAGAAATCAGTTTCCTTGCCATGTAGCAGGCCTTTGACATTTTGTTATCACCATCACTTGAGAACAATTATGAACTGGGATCTTTTACTTTTTCTCTGCTGAGCCTGGATATGGGCATTCTTCTGATCAGCAATTTGTTGATGTATCTCTTTTTTTTTCTCTTGGGTAGGCAAGGAACTCTGCTCATGAATTAGTTAAAAACCTCAGCGTGCAAGTGGTCAAAGAAGCAGAACAGCATGAAGGAGAAGGAGACCAGGAAGTGGGCTCAGGTGATACTGAACAAGAGAATAAAAAGTCAGTGGAGGTAATAATTTTAATCAAAAGAATGCTGCACTACAGTTTAAATGTATGCATCCATTGAAGAGCTATTTCCATATCCATCCTCAAGCTATGAGCTCTGCATTAGTCTGGGGGGTGGGGTGGGGGTGGAATTGGATGTGAAACTAATATCATGGCTTCCTCTTTTAAAGAAAATAGAATAATATCCATTTCTAACTTTGCAGGATATTCACATGGTTGCAATCAGAAGCCTGGCTGAATTGACAGCTTATTCCATTGAAATGTTCCACAAAACTGCAGCACTCGTTCTTCATGGACAAAAAGATGATGTGTTGGCTATAAACCGAGCTAAAACCCTTTCCCAGTAAGATTAATCATGCCTGTCTTCTCTATTTCTTTCCCTTCTTCTCAAAAATGTAAAAAGGTAACAAATACCTGGTTCCTGCTAGCCAGTCTTGTTTAGGGCAGTGGAATAAAAGCCCAAAGAATCTCCTTCACTATTCTTTACTTCTGTTTGTCCATATCTAGTATAACACAATACCATGGGCTAATCCAGTACTTGCTATAGGAATTGTACAGGCCTTCTCGTGCTTGCTTGTGTCTCTAAGAGGTTATAGAGTTCTTTCAAGGCACAGTTTGAAGGCTTTCCTTCAGTTGAACCTTCTTATTGCTCTTTAGTAATGGAAGTGATCAGTCAAAATAATGGATGAATGAGATGAGGAAGGGGCATATAGAATGGAGCCTACACTGAAAAACAGCCTGATTTATCTCTAACAGTCAGAGAGTGGCCAGTTCTAACCAGGTTCTGAATCCAAAATTTTGATATGGGAATCAAAGTCTCCATGTCTTACTATCTATCACTGGAAATTAAGAAATGAGTATACCTTTTCCTCATTTATTGATTAGTGTTCCATTCCAAGAGTCATTAAGTGAAATGGTTGCTAAATGAACACGAGAGAGGGACACTACAAAGATCACTGGCTGCTATGTGATTCAGATACAGTTATATTGTACAGTGTCCTGTGCCTGACCCATTTCCCCCCTTTTTTGCCTCCTCCAGAGGCAGAGAGATTAAACAAGCTTTTCTTCCTAAGCTGCTTTTCTTCAGAGCTCAATGCTTCCCCGAAATTTGGTAACCCAAATTAGCCAATTCAGCTCCATGGCCCATTGGTGAAACTGACCAGACCTTAATCAGTTTTACACTGAAGACTTTTCTTGTCAGATGCCCAAAATTTGGTCTTAAATGAGTGCATTGGTTAGAAAATGAATTTTTAATTACCATTTATTGCTGTCATATTTATGAATGATCAGTGAGGTAATTGCTAAATGAGAAGTGGCAGTATATTGTTGGAAATCTACTAGGTATAGGGCTTAAATGCAAAATAAAAAGCAATATACTCTATAATTTTGCTTGATACCAACAATAGGAGAATCATGGGTGAGCAGCTTTCAAGGAAACACCCTCTCAGGTTTCATAGGCATCAGTATTTTAAAAAAAATATTCTTCGTTCCAGGAAAAAAAAAGTAATAAAGAACACTAATTGATAAAGAATATTTGTAGCTGTGGGTTTAAATGAGAGGTCCTTGGTACTCTATGAGCTTGGTTGTTTTCTTGCAGACATTTCAATACTCAAACTAGGTAACATCATAGCACAACATAGCATTGATTGTGTTAGCTAGTTTGGGTAATGAAATGTTTGCAAGAAAACAACCAAGATCAGAGAGGACCAAGGAACCCACGAAGAGCATTAAATAAGGCAGGAATCTTGCACCATCCTTTTTTCAACATCTCTCTCAGAAAGTATGTCAATTTGAGAACCTTGCGGAAAGAATTTACTGTGATTAGAAGCTAAACCTGTCCTCAGCACCTTTTTTTCTTTCTTTTTTCCATACAGAGCTAAAGGAACTATTTGCAAGTTAATTGGAATCTGTGTTTTCATATCCCTTCAAACCACCAAGAACCTGCTTTAGAAAGGCTTGACTTTCTATTCATGTATTTTTCAAATCAGCTCATAGCAGACAAACCAGAGCATACCCCTAGTAGGTTCCCAGGCATACTAGTTGCAAATTATGCAGGGTATTTAGAGACTGCCTGACTGAAAGCTTGTAGATCATCCTTAGTGCTGTACATGGTAAAATAAATGAAAAAGATATATATTTTATTTATGATGTATTGTTCTTTTGTTTTAGAATGACCATTATGCTGTGCAAAGAATTATCATCTCTCTCTAAAGAATTTGCCACATGCTTAACAACTGCAGGGGTAAGATGATCTATGATGTCTAGTGGTAAAAAGTTTTTCATGAGAAATTAGAAAGATTCAGCCTACAGGACACATATTACTGTTTTAGTTTTATGCTATTTTTAAAGAAGGGTGTCCTGCCATTTCCTGTAACTGCTACTATCAGCAAAATATTTTACTTCGCTTTACTAGTAAGACGTTAGAGTTTACCATTTTTAAAGGATTTTCCCCCCCAGATAAATCAGAAATGGTTACTAAGGTTGGACTTTTTCATAGATTTCTTCATATCAGTTGTTTTCTCTATTTTGATTTAGATGCTCACATTACTAATATGAGAGGATCCATGCCAGATATTTAGCATCATTTCTACCTTGGCTCTGAATGCTATACATATTCATTTCAGTAGCATGGGGAATAAATTATCTAACTGATCAAAAATCAAAGGTTTTGGTATAGTTTTAGATATACGCAGCCTGTATTCTCTTTAAAAAATTTCTTTTTTTTCTGGCTTGGTTTTTAAATGCAACTTAATAATATGTCCAATTTTTTCAGGTGGAAGAGAAGGCTGATGTGCTCAACCCTTTAATCACAGGAGTGTTTTTGGAGGTCAGTTAAATATACAAATGCTTGCAAGGGATGGATTCTGAAAAAAACATTTTCACAACTGGCCTAATATACCTGTGAAACTAATACAGGTAGTCCTTGACTTATAACTACAATTGAGCCCAAAATATCTGTTGCTAAGCAAGATAGTTGTTAAGTAAGTTATGACATTTTTTGCTACAGTTATAAAGCAAATCGGGCTTCTCCAATTAAATTGGGAAGGTTATAAATACTGATCACATGGTCCCGGGACAGAGTAATTGCCATAAATACATGCCAGTAGCCAAGCACCCAAATTTTGATCAGGTGACCATGGGGATGCTGCAATGGTTGTAAGTGTGAAAACTGGTCATAAATAACATTTTTTCGCTGCCATTGTTACTTTATATGGTCACTTAATAAAAGATGATTAGCTGAGAACTGCCTGTATTTGGTTCATAGTACTTTTTTCTGAACTTTTATTGTGTAGAGAGAAGGAGAGTACATAAAATGGCCAATGTTTTGGGATGTTCTTTTTCTCAGGACAAAAACAATCCTATCCAACTTGAGATGAACAAATTGAAGAAATAAAACATTTGAAACATCACACTTTGTTCTGAGTTTATAACACAGTTTAGGTTAGAACTGATCCACTTCAGAATTCTCTTCTGTGATTGGAACAATTTGTGTTTGCTGCTTAAAACAATCACATTTTATTTTGAACTCAGACAAATGTCCATGTGATTTGGACTTTGTGCTCAAACATTCAAAATGGCAGTTCAGAGTTGAAACACTGCAAATTCCTATTAAAATATGATAGTGTCACATGTTTTACTGCCCTAGATACTAAGGATTATGAGCAAACACTTTCTTCATACCATAACCTTATTCAGATTAAATATGTAACAATGAAGATTAATGTTCCATTCTGCAATATCTATCCAACTGACAAAATATATAATTAATTCCCATAGATTAGAACAAAACTGAAATAATGTAAAAACAGATGGATGGCTTTTAAGTGAATATGGAACAACTTGTTCATGTAATATGCCCAGGTCCTAATCAAATTACTTATATATCTATTCTTCACTATTTATTTTACTAAAGCAATTAATTAGAGACATATGCCAGTCAAACTCTGATCTTTAGAATGTATGAATGTTCTTTATTCATATGACAAACCTTTTCATTCTTTTTTAAAGGCTTCTAACAGTGCCTCCTATATCCAAGATGCCTTCCAACTACTTTTGCCAGTGCTGCAGATCTCGCATATCCAGACTCAGAAAGAATTATCTCAGCAATAAATCAAAGTCTGACTGACTTGGAACATCACTTCCAATGGCCCTGAATGGAAGTTCCAGAAGAAAATGAGAAAGCATCTTAATATAAATTAAGACAGATGTGATTTACCACTGACCAGAATAAGATGCTGAAAGGCCATGATGCACCTCGGTAGATAAGACCTATAGGCAGCATAGGAAGTTTGTAATGCAATTTATTTGTGTCATTTTGCTGGATAATGTTCTGTCTGCTTCTGCTCTTTAGACCCTCTGCATTATGTTCCTTGAGATTAGAGCATTATGAAGGAAAGACTTTTAGTGCAAGGGACACATAGCATAACAATTCATGGCATGAGACCTTAGATTATTGGAGTCAGTAACTGCTGCAAACTTGCATTATACTCACATTGAAATACTATTTTAAGTAAAATGCCTAGCACTCCAAATACTGAGAAAATTTGTTTCAGGACATGTGAGTGTTTTTTCAACTGTCTATTCTAAGATCTGGAGATCCCAAAGGGAAAAAAAAAACCCCGCTAAGGTTGCAGCTAAGGTTATTTGAAAGGAGAAAAGGGGCATTTATATATCTTGACTTGCTCCCCATTAAACATGATTATGTTTCAGGTGTGAAAAGGTTTTAGACAAATCTGATCTTTTATTGTTGTACACTCTCTACTAGTGCTAGTTTAGAGATTTGGGTTGTTTTTTTAAAGAAAAACTTTTACATAATAGCATTTGACGTTTAAATAAACATATTTTGCTAGACCTCATTTAGTCAATAGATTTTCAGTGTCCTACTTCCTTAGCAGTAAATAAAAGGAGCCAGAAGGAGATGACATGATTTGAAGAAAAGTAAGGCTTTTGGCAAATGCTCTGAGATAAGATGGCCAACCTATAAATTTTATAAATAAATAAAATGAAGCTGTCAAGGGAAGCTTACAACTTGGATGCAGCATCTTTTTCCCCTTTAGCCCTATTTCATGACTCTGGATACTTCTATGAAAATAATTTTTGAGGTTCTGGAACTTTGCCTGAATTCCCAAATTGTGATTTAATTCTTCATATCATAACTCCAAAGACTTTAGAGTACAGTTTCCTCTTGTCTTTTTGGTCCAATTGTTACTTGTACAATTTTGTCTTGTTCCATAATGTATATGTTTACTTGTTCCTTCCTAGAATCTGCTCAGGGAAATTCTACCAACTTTTATGTTTTGAACAAGCAGCTTGCTATGATTACAGTGACTCAATATCACTTCAGCAAAGAAACAAAAAATGAATTGCAACTTGTTTTACTTTAGTGAATGGCCTTGCTTTTGCCTTTATTAGCATGTCTTTGTTCTAATTCCGATTCTGAATTTCCATCTGGTTGCTTGATGGTCTTAGAGTTAGTAAATTACGTTATTACCATATTATAGCATTAGCAAGGCATATTGAAATAATGCATCACATACATATACATACATGTGTGTATGGGTTTATAAGTGTGCATATGTGTGTGTGCATTTATAAATATATAAACATATATACATACACAAACGCACACACACACGGTAAAAATACCCAGTAACTTTACAAACATTAGGTTTTTTTAGATAGTTTAATTTCTAGCAAAAAATCTATTTTATCTATTCTAAATATGAATATGTACTATATTGTATACAGAGAATAAATGTCTTATGATGCAATAAGGAAATGGCTGCTTTATTAAATAGGTTGCCCATTGAATACATACAGTTATTAATGTTCAGGTGAACAAATCAATATTTTGCCATGTGCTGCTTTCATTTTTTGCTTATTCTTGTATAGAAGAAATCTGCATTGTTTCAAAATAGTGGGAGTGATAGCATACTTGGTGAATATACAGTATATTGCGAAGAATACATGCATTTTGTTTGTCTATCTGTAAAGATTATGCTTAAACTTAATATGCAGATTCCATCATATTGTTTTACTGTAATAGAAGAGAATAGCTGTCTGTTCAAATGGAACAATTGCGCATTTTCTCATACATGATATTCTTCCGACTAAAATCAGAATTCCGATTTTTCATTCCCCCCCCTTCCCCCCCCTTCTTCTCCTCCTTCCCCTCCCCTCGGAGGCCCCCTGAGTCAGGAGCAGGGAAGCAGCTGCCCAGCTCCGGAGCTGATCCACACCACTGGCTGGAAAGGAAGGGTGTGTATGTGTTGGTGTTGTGTGTGCGATTTCTTGGCACGCGGTGCAGGGTCTCTTTTGGCCAGCCCCGAAAGAGCGTGCGCGGGGCGGGCGGTGGAGACACAGGAGCAAATGCGGGAAGGAAGCGAACCTTGTTGCAAAGTTTTGCCTCTTTCCCTTTCTTTTTCTTCTAATGGAGTGTGTCTCCCCCACCCCCCAGATAAGTGTGACTTCGTTTTGAATGGTCAGAGCTATTCAGCTAAGGTGCAAGGATGACTGTATGTTGCCACCCAATCCTCATTCTTTCCCCCTGGACATTCCCGCTGGATCTCCGCGTTTATTCCTCGAGATTTATTTAACTGGGAGGGAGGCGCTGGATTACCCGGCGCCCTTTGGCTTCGGGAGATAAGCGCTACAAGGAGGCGAGAGCTCAGGACCTCGCGCTCTTTGGCGGGAAGCGATGATGGTGCTTCTGTCTGGGGTTAGGAAAGCGGACGAGCCGAACAGCGGCTTGGCTACCTACCTTGCGAGGCAGGGGAAGGCGGGAGAAGGGAAGAAGACGGGGGTGGCATGGGGCAGGAGGGAGGTTTCCCGGGGATGCAGAGGTGTGGAAAGAGCCAGACGGCTGCAGCTCCCTCCGGAGAGCGAAAGCAATGTTCATTTACCGGAAAATTCCCCTGCGGGAAGTCGTGCGGAGGGGAAAAAAAAGAGCTTGGAGCGGCGACTGGAACCGGAGCTCCCTTGATTAACAATTCTGAATTTTTTTTTCCCTTTCTTTTTTTACTCCCTTCCCGCCGTTGATAATTAGGATCCGGTGCCTCCATAATTACATTCTCATAGTTATTTGTCAGTGCAAATAACATTAACAAGTTTGGATTATACAGAATAAAAACAACTCTAAGGAAATAGTGCAAGCCAAATTCTCAACTCTAAGACAATTGTTAGGGATCCTGTGGTTGCAACACAAGTAAGGGTTGAACTGAGTGAACTTTTAAGTCTTTTTTTTAAAAAAATGAATAATTCTGTATCAAAAAATGAAAAAACTCATCACTTATTTAAATAACTGCTCAAAAACAATATAATTAAATTGGTTTTATGAAGTAGACTTGAGCAAGCAGAACAAAATGTAGCAGGAGAAGCCAATTGCACAAATTATTATAGCAATAATTGCAAGACCAAAAGAGGCACAAGTTGCCCACTTCAAACATATGCTAACAGCATGATCATCAGTCTCTATCTTGGCTTCTGGCAACACTTGTTCATGGCTGAAAGTGGGCAGCAATCCTTTCAAACCTGGTCTTTGGCATATTGGATATGTAAATTTTACTACTAAAAATGAAGGCCAACTGTGAACCATGATTATTCTTTTTAAAAAATGGAAAGCAGCTCTGGGATGTGTTCCAAATATGCTTTTTAAGAGGCAAGTGTTCTGAGTGTCCCAAAGGTGCGTTTCAACAGGCAACTGGAATTTCTTGGGTTTCCCCCCACCCCCCTTGAAAATGTTTTACTGCTCATCCAAGAAGTTTCTTCAGTTCTCAAGAAGCTTCTTGGATGAGAAGAGAAACTTTTTCAAGGAAAAAAACCCCAATCAAATCCAGTTGCCTTTTGAAAAGCACCTTTGGGGCAACCATGACCTGAATGATTAAGAATCTTCATGGATGCTCTGGGAAATTGATGGATAAATGCTCATAAAACAACATAATTCTAATATCATTGGGCTTTTACTATTTATACTTTTATTTTCACCTTATTCATTCTACAAAAGTATACACTGGTTCTCAATTATTATACTATTCTTTATTTATACTATGAATCGAACACTTCAAGCATGGCTTAATTTGGAATACTAATATGATCAATCATGTAGTTATGTCGGTGGGATTCAAATTTTTGTACTGCTGGTTCTGTGGGTGTGGCTTGGTGGGTGTGGCAGGGGAAGGATACTGTAAAATCTCTAGTCAGAGGTGGTATTTGCTGGTTCTCAGAACTACTCAAAATTTCGGCTACTGGTTCTCCAGAACTGGTAAGAACCTGCTGAATGTCACCTCTGAGTTATATAAGACATTGATTATTATTTACTCCAGAAAGCCTACTCTGCTCTCAATGTGATATGTAACTTTGCACATGTATATATTCCTGTAGATATCTTCAAGACACTTCTTCAGGACTGACTCAACTCAGTGGAATTCTTATCTCTGTGGAAGAATCTCAGTTACAAAATCAATTGCTTTCAAGATATGTGTGTAGAAATGTTTTACTTGTTAAGTCTTGCTGACATTTTGAATGATTGCTGAAATTAACATACCCTCCTCACTTGACCAATCAAGTAACCTCTCTGTTGTTTTCTTTCTTGTCTGGTCAAATCTCTTAGGAAAAAAAAGGAAGGTAAAATTAGAATAGTGAATGAGACATTTGGGAAAATACTACTACTTCTCAAATCAATCTACCGTATATACTCGAGTATAAGTCGACCCGAATATAAGCCGAGGCACCTAATTCTACACAAAAAACTGGGAAAACTTATTGACTCGAGTATAAGCCGAGGGTGGGAAATGCAGCAGCTACTGGTAAATTTCAAAAATAAAAATAATTAATTTGGGAAACGATCTCACTATCATGAAAGGTTTAATTGATTCACTAACCCAAAAAAAGAAGATGATGATGACAGCGGGAGGCAGGAGTCACTCTCTTCCCCTCCCTCGGAGGCCCCCTGAGTCAGGAGTCACTACCGCCGGCGCGGCCCCAGTCCCGCCGCCTCGGGAAGGGAAAGGCAAAGCGCTTTTTGCCTTTCCCTTCCTGGCTGGGGCTGTTGGGAGTCGCTGCCGCCGGAGGCCGCGACTCCACACCATTTTTTTTTTCAGAGGGGAATCTGACTCGAGTATAAGCCGAGGGGGATTTTTTCAGCACAAAAAATGGGCTGAAAAACTAGGCTTATACTCGAGTATATACAGTATATTCAGTTTTGAGTGAAAACTATTTTGGTCACATTGTAAAAAGCAAATAAGGTGTGACTTTAGGTGTTATGAAGGAACATGATAAATCATAACTGAAGTTGTGATTATGAATATTATTATATATTAATCCAAAAGAGGCATTGCTGGATTTTTTTTCCTTAGATGTTAAAATAATTTAGGCAATTTTTAATATGATGCACTTGATAAGTTCTTGGTCAACTTATTGTGCTTCACTGTAAATTCTACATTGAATTATTCTCAATGAGATTATACGATTTAATAGCCATTTGTGAAGTAAGTTGGTCAAATAAAGACAACCTGTTGGACAATCAGGCCTGACAAAACTGGCTGGAATAATCAGGATTTAAGAATGAAGTTAGTCTGAGCATACTGCCCATTCATTTTATGTGGGACGTATAACCCCGGTGCTGGCTGGAACCAGTTTTTCTTCTTTCCCAGATCATAAAAGGGGAGGAATCTCCGTGGCAGGAGCTACACTTCTGCTAATGAAGTCTGCATTGAAAGGTTTGCTTCTCTTTCCACTTCCTCAGGTGAGAGAGCTTTCATGTATACTGTACCTTTCTGTCTTTTCTGTGAATGATTTTTTTTCAACCCAGCTGGCTTTATAGAAAGAAGGCACTTTAGAAGACCGCATCTTGATTGGGACTGGATTCTGCATAAATCAGAGTGAAAATATTTTGTTTTGATGTTTAATCTCTTCAGCTTTCAGGAGAGCAAGCAATGATTTCAGTAATGCTTAAAACTTAGGAAGAGCGAGACCATAGGAGAAATCAATGTTATGGCTTGCCAAATTTTATTTGGTACATGAATAGTGGTTATGAAAACTCATGCAGTTTATAAATCTGTAGTAGCGGTATGAGTGCTTATTTGCTCCACAATTAAGGAAGATGAATAAGGAACCAAACTCTTCCCATTAATGTCTCATAATTAGAGAATCTTATTTATCATATTTGAATTTTATGCATAAAGAACCTAAGCATAGAGAACCTATACAAATTCTCTGTATTGTTTGTAATGGGGCTGAAAATGGGTGAGGTCAAAGAAACTGGTGAAACCAGATTCTTAAACAGAGGTTTTGAAATCTGATAGTTTTGTTTATCTAGTCTTCTAAAGCAAGACTTGTGAGTTCTTTTTTTAAGTCACTCTATGTTTACTTCATGTCAAGAATTTTGGTATCTTCTTTAGAGACAAAAAATAAGTCCATAACCATTTTTACTCCTTTTATCCTAGGTATCTTCCCGTCCTTCTTAGATACATCTTAATTTAATACTGATCTGACCTAAGAAACTTAGTGTCAAGCCTTGACAAATTAATTGTATATTTTGTAATAACTGTACTTTTACCGAACAATGTCTTCAATTTTAAAAGGTAGGTTCCCTTTTTTTCATTTGGAAAAAGAAAATGAAAGAAAACAAATCAATCTAGGAGTCTATTTGTGTCATATGAGATGTAAATAAACAATCCTTTTATTTCTTAGCACTGATACTGAATTTTATTGTGTTTTTGTCTTCCCTTGCATTCTATATATGTAACTATGCATGAACTACTATATGATATGCTGAAAATGGGCAGTTGTTAATGTGAATGTTTCTAAAGAATAAAAATAGCATCATTATTCAGTGGGAGTTTTCAGTTTTGAATTCCTCAGTTCCTTCCTATCTCACTTGAGCTAGTTCTATATCTTATAATCTTTGGAGACCCACATAATTTGATTTGGAACTCATCTTCTATTTTCTTGTCTTATTCAGAGGGTAATTTTTTTTCTTCATTTTAGTTTTGTGTTTCATTTTGTTGTATCTCTATTTTTCTACTGATAAGCTGGTTTCAACATTCTTCCCAAATCATTAGCAAAAGACACTACTTTCAGTAGACATTTAGTCTCCATCAGAATACTGTAATTTCTTTGCAGATGAAAAAACAAAGTTAATCATTAAACTGGACTTCAGCAATTAACAGATAATAGAGCAATAGTAGTAAAGGTTAAACAGTAGTCACCTTAGTTTTATTCACTGATTTCATGGTCCAGTGATATAAATCCTATGTTTTTTCATCATTTCATCCATTTTTGTTCTTTCCCAAGGAAGGATTGTGGAAATTTCAAGGATAAAATATGGGTGTCTTTTACGTGTCTAGAAAGTCCCATAAATATACAAAGTAATACTTTGTCGCACCTTTTTTGAGGTTCTGTTCCTTTATTTTTTAAATTTAATTTTTGTTACTATAATATCTCAGAATGGATAGACTTCTAAGCACAAGTTCTTAGAGAAAGCGAGGTTCTTAGAGAAAATGAGAATCTTAGAGAAAGTGAGGTGTAATCTATTCTATATGAAATAAGCTTATCCTCAGTATAAAAAAGTAATGAGGTTCACAAACCCAACCCACCAATCAACCAACAAAATGTGCTGGAGACAAAGATACAGTTACATTTGACTTTTTGGAGCCTCTGGTAATTTACTTCTTATAACAGATTAACTTCTGTTCTACTAGTTTCTTTTTGCTTTTAATCTAGATCCTTATAGAAAAACAAAACGAAGAATGGATTTTGTCCCTGTTAACATTTTAGTTTTTATATTATTTATTCATTTAACTTACATGCCACTCCATTAACGCTAAGTGTCTTACAAGTTTAATATAATAGGATTAAAAACCTAAACCAATTAATACAACAATAACCAATCAATCTGATGAGCCACCATGACTTTGGAGGCCTTTGCGCACATTTGTCTTATGCACCAATTTTGCTCTTTCCGTTCTGGGCTGGGAAGCTTTGATCATAGTAACTCTGCACCACGGACACTTGTCATTTGGATTCTTGCCATCTGCTTATCTGGGGCTGCCCCAGAATTTACAATTGGTTCTGAATGCAGCAGTATGCAGTGTTGGGCATCTCTAAGTTTGATCATATTATACACCTGTTATACCAGTTACCCTGCATTGGTTCCTAGTTATCTTCTGTGTACAATTCAAAGTGCTGGTTATTATGTTCAAAGCTCTGTATGGCATGGGACCAGGATATCTTTGGGACCACCTCTCCCTGAGAACATCTGCCCGCCCCACCAGAATTGATAAGTTGGGCATGCTTCCCTTAAACATTGCCATCTTGTGGGTCCTCAGAAGTTTGCCTTTTCTGTGGCAGCCTCTGCATGTGGAACACCCACCTCACTGAGATTTGAAAGGCCCCTATTCTTCCATCTTTTTGGAGAACACTTAAAACCTGGCTCGCCTCAGGCATCGGGGTGGAATAAGAATACAGGTGCATCAGAGAAGTGTGGTTATGGTGCCAGGTTTTTCTGTTTTAGTTTTATTGCTATTGGTTGTTACTGTTTGTATTGTTTAAATTATTTTTAGTTAACAAATAATCAGAATTGGAAGGGACCTTGTAGGTCATTTAGTCCAACCCCCTGCCCAAGCGGGAGACCCTACACCATTTCTGACAGATGGCAGTCCAATCTCTCCTTGAAAGTCTCAAGTGATGGCACTCCCAGAACTTCTGAGGGCAACTTCTGTTCCATTGGTTGATTGTTCTCACTGTCAGAAAGTTTCTCCTTATTTCCAGGTCAAATCTCTCCTTGTTCAGTTTCCATCCATTATTCCTTGTCTGGCCTACAGGCGCTTTAGAAAATAGCTTGACCCCTTCCTCTCTGTGGCAGCCCCTCAGATATTGGAAGACTGCTATCATGTCGCCCCTGGTCCTTCTCTTTACTAGACTAGCCAAGCCCAGTTCCTCCAGTCCCCTAATCATCCTGGTTGCTCTTCTCTGTACTTTTTCTAGAGTCTCAACATTTTTATAGTGTGGTGACTAAAACTGGATGGAGTACTCTAGGTGTGGTCTTATTAAGGCTTTATAGAGTGGTATTAGTACTTCCCTTGATCTTGATTGTATCCCTCTGTTAATACAATTTAGGATTGCATTAGCTTTTTTGGCTGCTGCTGTACACTGCTGGCTCATATTTAGCTGGTTGTCCACTAAGACTCCAAGATCCCTCTCACAGTTATTGCTATTGAGCCTGGTTTCACCCAGTCTATATGTGTACTTTTGGTTTTTCTTGCCTAAGTGTAGGACTGTTGTTTCAAGATGAGCACAAATATTTACAAATATTTTATACAATACATACAAACATTTCAAATACATACATAAATTTGCAGTAGGTTAATCTATAGACCCATGGAATACCTTTCTGTAGAGCTATGTTATTACACTCTATGCTCTCTTTCTTGGAGAGAGACCATTGAATATCCAGGAAGTAAATAATTCTAATGAGAAGGATCTCATTAGAGGTAGCCTTCCTTTAGTACTGGGACCTTCAGCAAACCCTCTTTCCTGCCAGTTGAGTATATTCTACTCAGGATAAGGGTACTCAGAGATATTCAGAGTCTGACCATAAAACCACATGCTGCTTTCATGCTGAATATACAGTAGCTTAGCCAAACTTGGCCAAGTTCTTGCTTGCTCCTCTTTCATGGTTCAGCAGGTTTACTTAACTTTGACATTTGGAATAGAAGTCATTCTAGAAGGTAAGGACTTTTGAGATAAGTTCAGCTACATAGTTAATAATACTGAATGCCTTTCATACACCAGTTTCAGGGCTGTGTCTTTATTAGGTAGAATGACTTATGCCATATTTTCCACCTAGACTAGTCTCCAATGTAGTGTAAATTTCCCATTTATAAGTCCATGGAAATAGGGACTGTGGTCCTTTAAAAACCCTATCTGTATGTACTTTAAAGCTATTTTAATGCATGAGATTATATTGTACCTGGAGAAAGCATTGTCCTTCAATATAATAATGATTTTGTGCAATGCTGGGCCTAACTAGAGATCTTAGATAAAGCTTATTTTTCCATCAAAGAGTAATCTTTTTTTCATTTCAATTGCCACTAACCTGTTTCCCACAAGCAATAGTTACATCTACCAAATTAATCATAGTTGGTGGTCTTCTGTCCTCAAAGCTTTCCCTTGAGCTGTATCCGTCCTATGAAGTGTGAATAGCTGTTCAGCACTACAACACTATAGCGTGCAGTAAAATGTTGGCTTGCACTGAAAAAGCCTTTGAAAATGTCCTTGTTAGGAAATCAAGGCATATGATAGATTATTCCCTTAGTTCTCTACTTTTCTGATCTGTGAATGTCCCAGCTGATTTCCTTATATTCTGAAATCTCATTGCCAGCATTTGGGAGAGAAGACAAAGACAAGAAGGATGAAAAAGATAAAGGAAAAGAACATAAAGGCCATAAAGATGGAGACAAAAAGGACAAGAAAAAGAAAAAAGAGAAAAAGGAGAAAAAGGTAAGATGAGAATGGAGGAATAGAAATGGCTCCAGGTAAAAAAAAAATGTCCATGCCTTCCATTACTTTTTGAGGGTGACCTTTTAATGCATAACATTTTCTGTAGACCTCATTCAGCTCTTTATCTCCTTTCATTATAATGTAATGTATAGGTGAAGGTGTTGTATTAAGAATAAAAATGTAAATTAAAATTTTGTATTGTTCAAATTCACTATTATGCAAACTCCCTGGTTACAGGTAGTTCTCAACTTACAAAAATTTATTCAGTGACCATTTGTAATTACAGAGGCACTGAAAAAAAGTGACTTATGACTGTTTTTCACACTTATGACCATTGCAGCAGCCCCATGGCCACATGATACACATTTGGATGCTTAGCAATTGGCATTTATTCATGACAGTTGCAATATCCCATGGTCATGTAAGACCTTCTAACAAACAAATTCAAAGGGAAGCCAGATTCACTTAATAACCATGTTAGTAACTTAACAAATAGAGTGATTCATTTAAAAACTTTGGCAGATAAGGTCATAAAAAGGGGCAAAATTCACTTAATGACTGCCTTGCTTAGCAACAGAAATTTTGGGCTCAATTGTTGTCGTAAGTCAAGGACTGCCTTTTGATCTAGCCATCAACTCTGACCTCAGCTCACATAATTTCCTTCTTGTAGGAAAGACTGAAGGAAGGAATGTTGCCCCGAGGATATACTGTATATCAAACAAAACAAATTACATGACATGTCTTAAAACTACAATATTGGTAGTTTTCACAAATATCTTAAGGACTGGAAGGGATTTTATGGGTTCACGGGCCATGTTTAATTCATTTGTGTTCAAATGAATGTGAATTTTGTTAAATCATAGTTACACTCCTCACTGTTAGTCAATTTCCTCTGGTGAAGTAGAAGACAGTATAAAAGCATACCATGTTACAAATACAAATACCTATAGAAGTGGCAGGAAAATCTTTTGTCTTTAATTCACTTTTTTGTTGTCTGTTTTCCTCCTATTTGGCTCTTAGCCATGCTAAATTGTCAACTTGATAGAGCTGACCATTTGTTCAAAAGAATCAGCAGCACCACATGGAAGCCACAGGTCATAGCATCAACTTCAATGGCACCAAAACCCTAGCCACTATAGAAAACCCCAGCCACAGAATCATCAGAGAAGCCATAGAGATTGAAAAAAGACCTAAAATCTTGAATAGAATAGATGATTCCACTAGACTGTCTATCATTTGGAAGCCTGCACTCACAAACAAAAAAATCTCCACACCACTAGCCAGGCAAACACCTGGGCACAAACAAATCCCCCCTGATACCTCCAGCTCAAACACACCCCAACCAGGCACCCAGATGAAACTTAGCTTCCTAATAAAAGATAGCCGTCCATTTACTCGGAGCCAAGCTGCACTAAAAGCCTCCAATACAGGAAACACAATGTTGCCAGCCAATCAAGACAAAAAAAGCTACAAAACAGACAGAAGATATTAGAAACACCAATCAAGCAGAACACAGCAAACTCCAAGACCAATAAACACAGACCAAGACTGCCAACCAATCAGGATGAAAAAAAACCATTCTGGCACAGCAGTAGGCTAGCACCAAATTTAAAACAGAAACGGCTGTGAAAGTCTGACTCACAGACGAACACAATACAGAAGCCTGATGATGGCAGATGAGATTCTGCCGAAACGTTGCTACAACTTTAAAAGCACAACTATAAAGATGTGGGAAAATACCTGAATGGAAGGACAAGTAAAGGCAACACTGTTGTTATGTCTATCTAGCCAACGAAGAAGGTAATATTGATGATGTCTTCCAAAAAAAAAAAAAAAGTTCAGAGAGACCTGAAGTTAGTAATGATGGGGAAATTGCTCTGGCATCTGTTGGGAAAAAAACCCTGCTAAGCATGGGCACTTTCCCTTTTGTCTTCTCCTTGACAGAGTAAAAGAGGAAAAAGAGAATAAACTATCTTTGTTTTGATCTAATCAATAGAAAATAATTAGTTGGGTAGTGGAAGTAGGAGGAACATTGGAGGAAAGCAGCCATGTAATGCTTGTAGTTCTTGGTTTTAAAGGAAACTCCAAGTGAAGTCCACAGTAACATGGACTTCAGAAAAAAAGGAATAAACTGATGTCAAGCAAGAGAAATGGGCTGGTAGAAAAATAAGAATTAGTGAAGAAGCAGGTAAAAAGCAGGTAAAAAGCAAGAAGTAGTAATACGGATAAAAAATGGAAAGCTGCAAACAAAGACAAGTGCAAAGTTTAGATCAAATGCATAAATATACCTATCACAATAACAGTGCTTGCAGAAAAGATTTGGGAATTACAGTTGGATGCAAACTGAATATGAGACCTGCAAAGAAAAGAAAATTCAATTTTTTGACTGCATCAACGAAAGTATAAATTTCCATTCCAAGTACTCATTTTAATCTGTGCTGCTTTAGCCCATTTTTATTGCCTTGGTTCTGGACATTATACCTGTAGAATTCAGAAAATGGAATGGGATAAATGAAGGGTAACAAAGGTGATTGGAGTAGAAATTAAAACTAGTGAAGAGAGATTGGAGCTGGCTTTATGTAATCCTGAACTGAGGGAGATAAAATAGTATTCTTCAAATACTTGAAGAAATATCTCATAGCAAAAGATCAAAACTTGCTCTCCCTCATTCCAGACTGTAGGAGACAGAATAATGAATTTCAGTTAGTAGAAGACAGATTCTGGTTGAATGTTAGGTGGGAGGGGGGCCCATTCCTAATAGTAAGAGCATTCTGACAGGTGAACCAATTGCCCAGAGAGATGATGGATACCTCTTCACTGGATGTTGTCAAGTGGAAGTTTAGACAACCATTTGTCTGGGAAACTAATATTTTGCATTCCTACACTGAGCAGGGAAAGTTGGGCTCAATCTGAAGGACCTCTTCCAGCCCAATAATTACATTCTAAATCAGCCACAGTGGCAAGGTTTTACTGAAATTTTCACTTAATCTTCATGCCTCCAGAACTTTCATATTTGAGGCAGCAAGTATCTTCTACAAGGAGTAAATATATGCAGATAAATATGTCTGAGACCAATGCTGTCAATGCAGCGGTTTCTCTCTGAGACAGTTTAATATTTCTTACTCAAAATTGTCCTGGGTGGCAAGGAGAAAGGATTGAAAGGTGAAAAATCAGTGAAAGTTTAAGATAAATGAAGATGACTAGAGACCTTGAGAAAAAGGCAGATCATCAGCAAGGGTGCTTCAAAACACCAGAAACATCAATATCTTTTTAAAAAGTATATTTTCCATGCTTTTTCATGTTTAGATCAAGGTAGAGTTTCTCTTCTATTTCTCCTGATTGTCTCAGTTCTCCTCAATGTTTTCATGAAATCTGTGACGCTCAGGAATATGTTTTTGGGGCTAAATATTAGACATGTTCTGAATTGTGGAGAACTAAAACTTCTGTGTTTTCAATATGTATGGAAGGAATACACTGTGGGAATTTGAAACAATGGAAAGTGTGTGCAGTGTGATAGTTGCGGTCAGCAAATTTTCCCCAATTGTCACATATCATTTTCCAAAAACGTGGAAGACTGCATTGGTAAGCAGATTTAATAACTAATGTGCGGATCAACCTCTCATATTCAATTCACATTAATGCTTGGGTATTATGGTGGAAGAGAACGTGCAAGACAAACTGCCTCCGATATTGACTGATTAATATTCACTCCACCTGCCCTCCACCCATGAATCCCCCAAAATCTTTCCATAGGATCCTTTAACTTTCCAGATCAGGTTCTGGCAGGAAGAAAGCTCAACAGACAAGCACATCTGGATCTGTTTCCTACTGTGATCCCTTTTGTGTGCATATTTGAGGGTATATGAAACATGCCTCAGATATTAGAGTAGGAGGAAAACTGCCTAAAATTGTCTAAGTGCAGTAGGCATCATGCAGAAACCCTTTTAGAATAATGCATCTAAAATCAGTTAGTGAAGACAGATTCTTGGTAGGGGTGGAGAAGAAGTGTGTGCTAATCTAATCCGAAGCCTGACTTTTGTATTGAATTTTTATGTACTGTGATAACAAGCCAAGCATTAATCTTAGCCATGACTCAGCATTGAATTGTTTTAAATCTTGTATGAACAATTCAAGTTCAGTTGGCTCTTTCTTCTCTGTTATGAATATGAGTCAGCCTGGACCCAGCCAAGTTAACTAAAACAAAAAGTTAAGTAGGAAGAGGCAATGTAAAAATTTCCTTTGCAAAACATGGATTAAAGAAGGAAGTCATTCAAAGGATACGTTGTAAATGAGCTTTCAGAGTAGAGTAAGAGTGAGATAGAAAATTTGCCTTTTAAACATTCACCTTCTTATACCACAGCATTTTATGGCCTAGGGCATGCTAATATGTATTGAAGGTATGGGGAAAAAAGGTACTGGATGGCTTGCTTCAGTTCCTTTTTTTTCCTCTGAAGGGGTGTGGCAACTTTGGTTTATTTAACAAATGCTCAGTGAGATATATTCATTAGTCACTGCATTTAATAACTGTCACATAACTTTCTATTTATTGTACATGAAGTACATGGAAAAAATGCTGAGAAAAGGATCACACCCATTTAACAACTTAGTAGTGATAAATTCTAGCATACAGGAGCTCCTCATGATAGCCAGCATCATCCTGTCACAAGGAAAGTCCCATAATTACAACTCTCCACAGGTACCCCTCCCTTTAAATTAGCTAATTACTATAATAGTGTGAGCTGGCAAAAAGGGACATTGAAAAAAGGGACTTTGAACTTTGGCTGGGGAGTCCTAGATTAACTTCTATAATCACAAAGGGTCAGTACATGTGGGCGTGGGCAGGTCATTGTCTGGCAGGTTTGCATGACATGCTCAGCAGTGTTAAGTGCTCTAGGTAATTTCTGATTTTGCTTTTTCAGGAATCCAGTTATTGTTTTAACAATTTGTGTGAACAACTAGGCCCTCACATTAAGCCATGATGTGATTTGTTTCTTTGGATA